GTTTTGCCAGGTCGAGGGCTCATTATTAGTATTTGCTTCGATTAAGGAAGCTCACTAGTTGCATTGTTTGCTATCGATCATGATGGACGACAAAATTTCATAGGCAGCAAAACTACACAGTCTTACCAGTTTTGAAGGCAAATACTTATCCAGCAGTACTTTAGTTTCCTACAAGATGACAACTAAAAGCCTCAACAATGCTTAGTGCACCTGGAATTCTAAGAATCGGTCTAATTTACTCATGCCATGTTTACTTCTCGCATGCCATTCAGTCTTTGTACGGTATGCTTCAGTTGTTTGCCTACCATGACGAGCATACGGTTTTCAGGCCGGAAAAAATCCCGCTATTAAATTGTTTTGCTAAATGTAATTTGAAAGATGTGAACAATCTGACAGAGCCGCAAAAGATCAAGATGTAAAGTAGGTGACAGCAGTAGATACTAACAAAAATTGCCTTGTTATGAAATCACACTGCTTCTCTCTACTAATTATATTTCAAGGTTCACTACTTATTGGAATTGACTCAATTCCTAGGAACCAGTGAACATCGAAGAAGTATTTCTTTGCTTCTGTTGTTTAATCTGTCTCGCGGCCTTTGAAATCAAATCGAGGAATGTTCAGTTGTTACAGAGCAGTGAATACTTCAGTGCTCTTAACTACATAGCGTAAAGTGACGATGTGAACTGAAATCACAACTAACGTGTTATTGCTCGCGGTAAAAAAGAAGTAGAGGACATTTGTGTAAAATTTGATTAACGTTACATCAATTCATATTCCAAGAAAATTCGTCTACTCTTTGTCAGTGATTAGCGCATGCGCTTGCTTTCATTATTTCCTAGGAATTTATCTTCGTACGAAACGTAAGCAAGTAGCTTATTATTTTTCAAGCATCGATGTAGAAAGACCTATTTCCGTCTAAAACTTTGCTCAGCAATTCAAAACTTCCAAACAAGTAGGATTGAGAAATCATTAACATATATTTCAAGTATATAAAAGCCGTTTTCAGAGAGCTTGATTGTTCGATGCGGTGTCTCGAGTCAACAGATCGGTCACCGATATTATGATCTTTTGATTTCACTGCATCATTTTCGATCAAAATCCATCCTGTGCATTTTAAAATAGATTAAGTCTAGATTAGCGACGCCTACCAGACGATACTTACCTCAACTGTGAGCTCGAGGATAGCAGAATGCAAACGAACACTACAGTATCACTCACCATTGGAGACATTGTCGTGCAGTCAACCAAGTGAAACGTACCCATCAAGATTACATTAATAAATTGACTGTTGGAATATTGAACCCGCTACTCGTTTCAAGAATGCGATAGTGAATTGATTATTGGAACATTGTATCCACTAGTCGTTCCAAGAATACGACTAATGGGCCTAATGTTCCAAAAAATCAATTTACTATTGATTTTTGAAATTACTAGTGATTTTAATATTCAAATAGTCAATTCATTATTGCATTCTTGAAACGACTAGCGGGTTCAATATTCAAATAATCAATTCATTAATGTAATCTTGAGGGATACGCTTCACTTGGTTTGACTGTAAACCTTCTGTTAAACGACTAGGTTCCTTTTGTCGTCGCCACTGTGGTTGGCTTGAACTCCCTATTTGATTCCTGGAAGTGAGCAAGCCGAGTGCGCAAGGTTAGCGATCAGTACACGGGCAAAAAGGTTAATCACACGGAGTGAAGGTTTGAGTAGAGCTTGTAATTATGTGTTCGTGTGGTAATTGTTGCTCAGTGATAGCTCATTTTACTGTGGCGGGTCATTACTAGGCTAGTTCCTTTTGCTAGTAATGAGGAAAAGAACTGGAAAGGACGACAACCTTACTCGGCGGGAAAGGTCTGAAGGAAAAGAAACGGAAAGGAACGGAAAGGACGAATATCGTACTTGGTGGGAAAGGTCTGAAGAAAAAGAAAAGGAAAGAACTGGAAAGGACGAATACCGCACTTGGTTGAAAAGGTCTGAAGGAAAAGAAACGAAGAGAAATCGAAATGACGAATACCGTCCTTCGAGGGAAACGTTTGACGAAAAGCAAACGGAGAAGACAGCAAAACGAAAGGTATGTACACGAAAGTTAAAGCACTGACATAAATTTACCTTATTCCAAACTTACGTTCTGAGATTTCCGGAAAGTATAGAGCGTCTGAAAACCCCGCTTGGAAATTTTCTCTTCCAATCGGAATCGTGAAACATGTTCATGTAGAAGAATCATTTTATCCAATCAGATTACATGTACGCAGGCAATCTATGTAACAGCTATCTGGTCGATCTGGCGTGAAAAAATAAATTTCGCTCATTTCTTGTGTGCTGTAAGACATTTGTGTTCATGTTCTTGTTCAAGACATTCGTACGGCTAAATCAATCGTTTCAATATGATCTTTTCAAATGCTCCTATTTTAGACAATTTTCGCATTACCTGAGCGAAGGCTCATTACGGCCACTGTCAACATCTAAATTTAAACAACTTTAATTTGAAACAAGTACAAAAATCTCTACACAAAACACACACCACTGTTTCTACCCCTAAAGTTGAGTGCTCGAACTTCGCTCGAGAGTAGTCGTTGTTGCCACCTATACATCACCTCGATTTAGCGAAGGAATCTGCTTAAGCGGGCAATGGGGTCGTTCGCACCCTTCTTCCAAAAGAAAAACGAAGCAGGGAAACACCGATAAAGAACCTACCACCATGCCGGTTTACCCCGAAAGTAAACCGCTCACCAAACTCAGAGCTGGCTACCTTTGTTTCTGGCTGTTTTAGGCGTTTGCTAGAATTGGGGGACGCCAGGAGGCCGACGTATAGTTCTCAAATACTTACAAAAGATATAATGAACAACTTTGTGGCAATTTTTACTTTTAGCTTTATGATTGTATAAAAATAGAAATCCTGATTTCTCAGACCTTTAGGGGAAAAGAAAAGTAGTTTAAAATCGGATTCCACATTACGTTAAAAAATGATGTGTCGGAAACAAAATTGGTAGAAAAAGAAGTACAACCAAAATATTCAACACCCTCGACGTTCTGAGAGATAAATTCACATAGAAAGAATTATAATATGGTTTTAAATGTAAAGAAAGAGACATAACCTTGATACCCCGAAAAAAAAGTGTTGTTAGCGAATTTTCCCCTTAAGAGCATGTTTGGCAACCGATATAATAAAGTGTAATTACGAAATTGCGAAATTCAGATTTATTACCTTCAAAATCCTATGTTCTCCTAACCAAAGGGCCACCCTGCTTGGCCCTAGTTATGACCAAAGCCACAAATAAAATTGCCGCCAAAACGCACAGTAGCTAACAGGGGCCAGTTCTGAGTGGGGTCAGTGATTTACTTTTCGAGGTTAACGTGGCGATTGTTTCACTGTTTTGTGAAAAAAGAATGACGTTAATATCTTAAGCAGAATCCTAAGTTTGGGTGGTAGCGATAGTTTTTGCAGGTGTAACACAATATCGAGCGAAGTTCGAGCTGTCATCAAGCTGTTTGTCTAAAAACAGATACAGGGTGAGTTAAAACTGACTTTGTTCCCTTAATTTCAAATATAATGACATATTTTTAATTGTTGTTGAACGTAAAAAAAGCACTTATCCTTTCAACTGAATCGATTTTTTCCCCCAAACCTTTCTCTTATATGGGAAGTGCCTCTTAAGCTCTACCTATATACCTTTTTCATAAATGCCTGCTAATAATAAATTATTTTGTAAGTATCTATTAGCGTAACTAACTTCGCTTTTGAGGGAGTAGAAAGAATTTTCACTACAAGTTTAGTAAGGCTAAATGATTGTATAACAGAGAATAATTGGCAGTCATTTTTGAAAAGGGTCTACAATCCCGGTCTCTTCATTGTCCTTCCCAAGCTGTTATCAAATGCGAATTGAGAGGGAAGACAGTTAAAGGGAAGAATAGATTCGTTTTAACAATGTGTATTTGATTGCAGAAAATTTGCCAAGGCTCCAGCTGGCCATCAGTTACAATAAAGAAAAGAACAAGCGACTCTTCACCGAAGGAATATGCTACGAGCTTACTTGAAGAAAAATTCAGAACCCGTCTAATTGTAACTGACAGATTAAATTCTGGTAGAAACCTGGCCGACGACCATTTGATTGCAGAATCGTCCTCAACAGTTCATAGCTTGGTAGGGATGCTCGTTGAATGCATTTCTTTCTACATATTTGAAATTACACCTTTGTCTTGAATTCATCTCCAGTTTTCCCTCCCCATTGTTAAGGCATCTTACCATCATTTACGTTCTTATATTTCCGAGAGCAACGATAGTTTGGTTCCAAGGCAAAATAATTCAGAAAATATACCTTGTAAACGCGATGTTTTTAGTTCGTTTCGTTTTCTTACCTAAAACCTTTACTACAGCAGTTTCTGGTTATGAAGCTGAGTGAGCTTGTTGTTCCCGTCTGTTGAAATCCTATCCTGAGGACAAAACGAAGCCGAACACCACCGGCCGCTATCGCTGAGAACGATGATTATGAGAGAACGACGAGGGCTTATACATACTTGCCAAGATGAATTATCCGATTTCGTTGGCTGTCACTTTTGACATGACAGCCGGAAGTGTGAATAAGCGGTTTAAATAGATACATCTAGTCTCAAGCGCTAGTGCTGCTTTGGAAATGGTATAGCAGTCCCGTATCTCGCCGATGATTACAACATTGCAAGCTCAGAGCACCTAAAAAGGTCTTAGTCCTCATTCATGCCTGGAGTCTTTTTGAACTGCGGTGTAAGATATGAAGACATGATTGATCATCGCACTCGCCCATACGCTCCGACATAATTTGAATTATGTCGGAGTTAGTGTTTCAACAGGTTATCTTAAAAGATAACCTGTGAACAGCCTCCCGGCGAGGGCGAAAAAATTCGGCGAGCGAATCCAGCCGACGAGCACGAAACTGAAGAATTCAGAGAACGAAGCCATCGGGCCGAGACGTTAAAATAAGAGTGAATGTACAGACCGTCCGCCGGGACGAAAAAAAGTAACCCTTGTAGAGGGGCGGCCTTTAGTTGAAGTTAGACTGTACAAACTCAATTCTATCTTTTCAGTTCACGCTCGCCGGGAGCCTTTGCAGGCTAGTGTTTAGAAATTCTCCTCAATATTAAAGTCCGGCACTCCCGGTTTAATTCAAAGTCTATATGGCATGTACATTTACTTTTGTTAGGTGCTGTACGGTTTCTTTAGGGTTTCTTTAGGGCTTTATTTGTGTAGCTCCAATATTATCTTATTATGACCTCCCTGCATTGCGTTTTTCTTTCCTTACTTGTGCGTTTAGGAGATTAAAATCAGTAGTTAGAATTGGATGGAGTTGGCCTCAAGTTATCTTTTGTGCACATAGCATAAACAGCCGTGATAAACGTTGTACATCAACGTATTTTTTATGATTAAACTTGACATTTGGTGTGCTGGGAAACATACGTTTTCAAAAGTGGCCATTACAATTTTTGAACAACTATATTATTAGAGGTCTGGAAAAAATGATCTGATATACGGCATGAGAATTTACAGGTAATAAAGCAACAGCTTCTCAATGCTGACATTGATATTTAGTTCTTGAATCAATAGGTCCTTTTAATTTTGCAATGAAATTCAGTTTTTCCGGACGCTAAAATGGTCGCTGGCTGCCGTAGATTTAGATCGCATTTGTTCACTAGCCATGTTGTCAATTCTCTATTTAAAAGGGCGAAGCAACCCATTTGACAGAGAAAGCAATACCGCTTTGCCTCCCAGATAATGTCAGGTGGAATCCACAGGCGGGAGCAATAAAATTTAAAGATGAGCGTCGTTCATTATATGTTGTGGAAGCAGCTATTGAAGAGCTACGAAAAATCAAAGGTGCGTGTCAATCAAATGATAAGGAAAAACAGTGACCTAGGTTAATTAATCTAATTATTTGTTTTTCGTTGTAGTTCAGTGTTTAATTTTGCTGTATTCTTAGTCGTCCGTTCTTTGGTTCATTGTTTTGTCGATAGTGCTACGGTAAGGCATCGAATCAAAAAAGGAAGATCTAAGGTTTTCAAGGGTCTCTGGACGTATTGTACCAAAAAACAATTATAGTGGAGCTCTGGCAGCCCGAAGGGCCACCAAGCGGAGCACCATACCCATATACGAAAGAAAAGGAAACCGATGCATTAATTTTCTCATGGTTATCATGGCTAGCAGTATTGTTCGTGGGCGCGTAGGCACGACAACGGCGACGACAACGGCGGAGTCCCGCAAGATGGCGGCCATACTCTAGCTAATAGCGGAGCTCCTTTGCGCCGAAGGCGCGTGAGCGGAGCCCCATGCCTTAGAAAATTTGGTAACCCATCGATCTCAAAAATTTTGGTTGTCACGTGACTGTCCGTACGTATGTCCGTCCGTACGTACGTCTAGCCCCATACCGATAACTTGACAAAGTAGCACAATTACCATAGGTCATGTTATGATTAATTGACAGCTGTCAAAACAAGGTATCTGCTGACCAGCATCAGGTTACCATATCGTGGGCTCAGGTCAAGAGCTCATCGGGGTTGCTTATGTTTTTGAAGTTGACCGCTGACCAGGTGCTAGATTTTCTATTGGATCGCGGGTTCAAGTCAGGTTATTACTCTGGAGGAGAAGGAGGGAGTACACACAAAGGCAAAATTTCGCGGCAAATTAACCCCTGACGGGTTCTTGACTTTTCTTCCGACATATTCCTTGCACAATCGTCTCTTGGAAAGTCTCTGATATATTGCGTGCGTAATTTCCGTAATCTTGGGTACGCTTAATAGGTATAAGAGAGTTTGCGCATGACGTTTACGGCAGACGTTAAATGGCAAAGATTTCTGATTTTCTGTGGCTGAACACAGTTTTCAAGAGCCTCTGCCTAATTTACCATTACTTTAAAGATATTTATGCTTTGGCGCCCGTTTTTTGTAAGAGTCAACGTTAACCACAGAAGGGTTTATTCGCACATTTTGGCTAAGGTGAGTGCTGTTGCCATGGCAACGGAGCTAGTTAAAAACAAGGCTTAAAAAATGGTTTTTGTTTATTTCAAAAAGAATTCAGTCGCTATGAATTGACATTAAATTCCCTCTGTCAACACTGTTCTAATAAAATTTTGACATAGGCGACTTTCGTAATTCGCCGTAAATCGTTTTCACTGCATGTTCTGTATTATTAAAAATTCC